ACATTCTTCTACTATTTGGGTTGTATTTCACTTGCTGCATATTTTCTCTAGAAGAAAAAGGTTTAATTTTGATTATATCCAATTTATCTCTGTCCTTTGGTTGCTTGTTCTTTAGGTGTCATATTAATAAAAAAAAAAGAAAGAAAGAAATCATTGACTCACCTATGGACTTGAAGACTTGCCTTGTTATTTTCTTTGAAGAGTTTTATAGTTTTTGCTCATTCATTGGAGTCTTTGACTATTATTTGATTTAATTAAAATTTTTATGGTGTGAAAGATGCATCCTGTTTTATTCATGTGTGTGTAAAAATCTTGCTATCCTGACACTTTTTCTTTTTATTTTTACCCTTTTTTTTTAAGAGGTTTTTAATATAGGGCACGTGCACTCAGCAGAAAGAGCGCGCACATGCCCTACAACAAAACCAATCAAACAAAATAAATAAATAAATAAATAAATAAACAAACAAAGAAACAAAAGACAATGTATAGGTTTTATTTAATAAGTTTTTATGGCTTTGGGACTATGATTATATTGGTCTGACTAAAAACTCAGTGTTTCCCCATCCTGTGTTTTTTGTAAAATTTTGTAAATTATGGATATTAATTTTTCTTTACTTTGCTAAAATTCATTTGTGAAGCCATGTGGGCCTGAGATTTTCTTGATGGAAATATTTTAACTGCTTGTTCAATGTCTTTATTTTTTTATAAGTCTATTTAGATTTTCTGCTTTTTCTTGAGCATTTTAACAGTTTGTGTTTTTCTAGGAATTTCCCCCACTTAATCTGGGTTCTGGGTTATCTAATTTGTTAGAATATAATTGCTCATAGTATTCCTTGATAATCTTTTATTTCTGTAAAATTTGCAGAAATGTTTTACTTTTATTTTTTTTTAAAGTTTTTTGCTATAGGGCACAAGGGCTCACTGGAGAGACAGAGAGAGGTGTGCTTGCCAGAAAGACAGAGAGAGACAGAAAGAGAGAAATTACCCTGGGGGGATAGCCATGCTGCAATCCCATCTCATCACTCTCCTCTCAGGATTTTGGGCATGCATGCACATGCACCTGTTGTGATTTTCAAGCTGCCAAGTCCAAGACTCAAACTACCATCAGCCCTGTGGGAGTCCAGTGCCTTAAACACCATGCCATTTGCTGGTCTATTTTACTTTCTATGTCTGATTTTAATATTTTGGTTCTTCTCTCTTTTTCTTATTCAGTCTATATAGCGATTTGTCAATTTTGTTGATCTTTTCAAAGAACTAACTTTTGATTTTGTTGATTTTCTCCACATTTCTATCTTCTCTTTCACTTATTCATCATAGTCAGAGGTAAACTCTGTCAGATAAAATTTTCCCAAGGTGGTCATCCATGTTCCTAGGAAATTTTTTGACTGTCACAATCAGTACACCATGAAAGAAATGAGGCTACATGGAATTTGAAGCTTGGTTATAAATATAAATATAATTTTGCCTTTTGCTTTGGGAATGCTTTCCATTGAAAACCAACCATAATTCCATAAAGAAAACTTAACTAGCCAAGGGGCGAAACCACATGAAGTCTCATTCAGAGAGTCTGGCAAACAACTCAGCTGAAACTTCAGCTGATATTTATCACCATGTAGCAGCCATGGGAGCGAAAACATCTCCAGATGGTTCCAATAAAGCCTCAGTCACCACCTGCCTCTGAGGCTTCCCAGAGGAGGTTCCAGACACCGTGGAACAGAAGCAAGTCATCCACGTTGCTCTCTCTCTGAATGTCCGAGCCACAGCTTCTGTGAGGGCAGTAAGTAACTGTTTTACACTTCTAAATATCTTGAGAACCTTACCTTATTTATTTCTTTGCAGTGGTTCTATGCGTCATTTTACATGAAAAGAGGTTTCATGTTCACATCAGATATAGTCCTTTCATAGCCAATAACTTAAGAGTGAAAAATCAATGGCAGCCATTTTAAAAGACCAGAAGGGAAGGCTAAGAACAGAAATAACAGGTTAACAGGAAACCAAGGGAAAGTAACGAAGGAATCTGAGAATTTAATTTCTAGGAGATTTTAGTTTCCTCAATACTCTTTGACACGTTTTGACCTCTTGATATCATTGGAATAGCATAAATAATGATGCATCATTTATCTACGTTACAGTAAAATGTCTATCTACCCACCTGGATTTTTGTTTTTACTTCACATAACTATGCACACAGAAACATTTTCTGTTTTTGTATGCTGTCATTCTGACAATTGCCGCCATTAAACTCACTATACACTACTAAAAATTTGCAAAGACTAGCAGAGAATTTCAGATATTAGTTACTCCCTCGAGTGCTAGCAATCTGGCTGACAAGCAAGTGTAGTGATGTCATGATGGAAAGATAATTTCATATTAAAAATAGGACAAGAAGAAAAAGGAGGACACCTAATAGATCTTAGGCATATTTTTTTGTAGCAAAGACTTGTAAAAATTTCAGTAGAATCTAGACAATAAAGCTAAATATCTTTATCTAAGTGTAGCTGGGCGTTTGAAACCCTGTGGTTTCAAATATGCCCTGGAGCAGCCTCGTCTTGCTCTGATAATCACTTTATGGATAAGGGGCAATTAGTAGTATATAATAGGTTAAAGCTCATGTGGTCTTAGGTGAAGTCCTGCAACTGGAAAAAATAGTCGTTAGTCTGCTTCCTATGTTTCAAAGATGCTAAAAGAGACTTCTTTTCTTTTTTTTTTTTTTTTGGGAGAGGTTTTTGCTATAGGGCGTGTGCACTCGCCAGACAGAGAGAGACATAGGGACAGAAAGCGAGAAATCACCCCCCAGGGGGGATGGTCACGCCGCAATCCCTTCTCCTCTCGGGATCTTGGGCACGCATGCACATGCACCCGGTGTGAGTTTTAAGCCACCGGGTCTGGGATGCTACAAGATGCATGAGCACACTGGAGAGGTCACGCCGCAATCCCTTCTCCTCTCGGGATCTTGGGCACGCATGCACATGCACCCGGTGTGAGTTTTAAGCCACCGGGTCTGGGATGTGAACCACAGTCGACTATGTGGGAGTCCAGTGACATAGCCATTGCGCTAACTGCTGGTTCCCAAAAGAGACTTCTTGAGACCCCAAGGAAGCACCTATCTGCCCGATGCTATCTGTGAGTGGTGAATACAGCACGTTAGAAATGGCACAATTGACATTAAATCCAGCAGAGTTCATGAGGAACAAGTCGTTTGTTTGTTTGTTTGTTTTGAGAGAGATACTTTTGCTACAAGATGCATGGGCTCACTGGAGACACAGAGAAAGTGAGAAATCACCACCACCACTGTCCCAGAAGGGATGGTCATGCCATGGTCTCCTTTCCTTCTTTCTCCTCTCAGGATCTTGGCCATGCACACACACATGCACACACACACACACACACACACACACACACACACACACACACACAGTGTGAGGCTGCTGGGTCTGGAACTTGAACCATGGTTGGCTGTGTGGGAGTCCAGCTCCTCAACCACTTTGCCACCTGCTGGCCCCAGAACACATATTTTTTAATCAGTCTTAATTTTCTCTCTGACAGAGTTAATGGACTGTTTATGACAATATTCAACACACAGAAATAAATCCCAGTGAGGCAGTTGCTATGGTCCCTTGTAAGTGCCTAGTCTATAACAGGACTGGATATAATTAATGATAGGTAACACAGACTGCAGACCAGTGACCATGCAAAGATACTGCTTAAGAGCACTGTGAATCTGAGTAAGTTTCTAAGCATTTGTCTCAGGGCTGTGACCTCTCCCTTTTCCTGGCTACATCAATGATTCAGGTAACTGTTTGAAATGTAGTAAAAAAAAAAAAAAACTACAAATATGCTAGATGACAAAATAAGAATCCCAGAAATCCCTGATGGTTTGAGACAAAAGGTAATTCCAATATTGTATATTTAGCAAAGGTAAATTCATTTGATCTGTTGAAGTCAATCACTATAAAAAATAGAATACAAAATTATCACGGATATTACTGACTCCTTTAGGGAACGTACACCCACTGTAAATCAGCACACTGGTATGGCCGATCCATACAAAATCAATTTTGTAGTACATTTCAAATTTGGAGCAATGATTAAGGAAGCACCAAAAGATAAGCAGAATTTTATAATGAAAATTGTATATCATTTGAATAATAGGTAAATAGTATGAATAAAGTAAAATCCTATACATATTTTAGTGTTAGTGAATCTCAATAATAGACTATTTTGTAAAGAAAAATAATTCAAATCACAGGATAAATAAGATATAATTACATTTACACAAGTTGTCACACTTGTCAGAACTGTAATACAGGTTTAGGAATAAAGGTGGTGTGTGTGTGTATTTTAAGAATAAAACAAAATAATTATAACCATATTTTAAAAGCTGTGGATTATTCAGAATGAGAATGGAAGTATATAGTATTATAGAAGGAAGTAATACTAAATGTAAAAATTAATTTTTAAACTGTTAAATGTGCTTCATTAAAATGCTATCTTTCATTCTTTATAGATATTTAATAAATATCCTTTTGTTATTTTTAATATTGGGTAAATATTACTAAAAGTAATTGTCGAGCCAGAAGGTGGTGTGGCAGTTAAGCTTGCTGAATCCCGTATAGCTGACTGTATGATTTGAGTCCTTGTCCTGGAAGCTTGAAATACATGCCCAGTGTATGTATCTGTGTTCCCCAAATCCTTAAGAGAATGGAAGAGAAGGGATTGTGGCGTGTCATTCTCCCAGGGGGTGCTTTCTTACTTTTCCTCTCTCTTCCTCTCTTCCTCTGTCTCTGGCAAGAACATGTTCCCTATAGCAAAAATTAGGGAAAAAAAATTGTAAAATTTTAGGACATCTAGAATCCTTAGTACATAACAAAGTTTAAACATGTTGGTGGGGAGAACTTTTTAGTGTTAGTTCACCTAACTTGTTAGTTTCATGGGAATTTAAGAATGCACATAAGCTACCAAAAAGTGTTTTATTAGCCTCCAGGATCTTGGAGTGCCTGACTATGGCTCAGGGTGCTGTGCTGGCAGGGATCCAGTATCAGGGCAGCCCTGAACATCTCCTGCTCCCACCTACTGGTCTCTGCATCTGCTTCTCCTGATGCTACTCCATACCTGGCTCTGCATCCCCCCATCTATACTCCATCAGAGAGGGCTTCCAATGGGCTGGATGGTCACAGTTCAATCTGAATTGCCCCTGAAAGAAAGTCACATGTCACATTTTAGGCTTCTGGGGAGGGAAGCAACAGAGTCTTTCTAAAGTCAAGCCCTATCTCTAGTTTAATTATGAAAAGAATCACTCTTGTTTCCCATAGAAGGGCATTATGAATATGGCAGTCATTCAAAGAGACATGAGATAGTCCTACGGTCACGTATATTGGCACTAAGAAAATAAATGATCCATAAGGTAATTTTTCGATCTTGAAATTTAATAACCATCCCTTTTCCAAGGCTGATGCCAAGCTGCCATGCATCATCCATCAATGTGTTATGGTTCCAATCACATCACATCGTGTTTTATGAATATATCAACTCAGTTATTGACGAAGGCAAGAATTAACCAAATGCCTATTTTAACCCTCTGTCTGATACATTGAGTTTAGGAGACTTTTATGGCAGAGGAGATAATGCCAATCAACAGATCAGCTCTAATCTTTGTTTTGACAAAGAGTTCACCTCATGGCCACAAAGAACATCTACACATAAGATACTAGCCAAACTCAGCTTTATTCCAACATTATAGTACAAATGTCAGATAGGGTCCAAAGTGTTTTTTTTTTTTTTCTTTTCTCTTTTTTCCGCCTAGAGATTAAGGACGAAAAATATATAATTCTGTAGCACAGTCAGAAAAGATTAATGGTTCTGTTTTCCTAGGAAAATATTTTAATCCTGAGCCAATAAATTGTATCAATAGGAAAACTCATCCCATCTTCAGGTTTGTTACAGACTGTATATGGTATTGGGAATGACCAATAGATTATACAGTTTGGATGGGGCAATATATCCAATATATCTGGATATAATAACACGTAGTGTATTTTTACATTATAATCATATGTCATAGGAAATTTGACCTACTCTTTCTCTCTTTGAGCTTATACATTTATTTATTATTAAAATTAATATTTTCTAATGGATTTTAATTAATGCAGAGAACTCCTTGCAATTAGTCTCCGAGTCTTGGACTGTCAAAGTACTATCCTAAATTTCACATTGTCAAGACTGACTTTGTTTTGCCAATCATACCATTCAACCACTGAAATCTCATTCAATTTAGTAACTTGAGAGTGTAGACGTTACATTAAAAGACAATGACTATCACATTTTCTGGTTTCTGAGAAAAGAGAAGATCTATCCTAAACACTTCTATGATATGATTTCAGTGCCATGGCACAGTGTCCAGCACAGAATAGTGAGTATTTTAAACATGGCAACTAGGCAAAGTGCAGATCCTACCACTGGGGCTTTAATAAGACACAAATTAACCTGGTGGGTTAAATTGACTCAATTACCCATGAATGTGTCTAGTTGATGTTCCCTTTAATTGTGGCTGGGTTTATAAACAGGAGTCATGCCCTCCTTTCTCTTATGAACTGCTAGTAGTTGAATAACAATCAGGGTTTTAGAAAGAATATCTCAAAATTTGCATATTCATATGAACTTATCGAAAAAAAATTATTTCATGAACTCAGTTTATATGCAATGCTTTCCGATTATATTTCTGTTGTAATCACATAAACTTTCAATTCCTGTCACAATTTTACATGTTTGGTAGGATATCTACTATACCCCTTTTCTACTTGATTCTATATACCAATGTGATAAAGTATAATAAGAGGCCAACAGAGGCACATTTACTACCTTACGGACCAATGAGAGAGAGATAAAATGAGGGATTGGGCTAATGTGATAAGAGTGGCTTAGTAAAGAGACCAAAAGAAAACCTCCAGACAGTAACACAAGTCTAGATCTCAGGATTCTTACCTGGAGAAAATCAGGTCTGCATAAGGGTTACATTAGCCATTTAAGTAATACAACCCAATTCATCATTTCAATCAGTTGGAGATGTCAGAGCTTCTGAAGCAAAAAGAAAGTGGCTTGCAGGTTTGCCTCTAGAATGTGCTTGCCATCTGGAAAGAAAAACTAAGGGGAGCCATGAACTCTTCAGGCCAGGCACGTGTGTGTGCCACATATCCTAGGAGGAGAATGAAGGAGAAGGGATTGTGACATGGCCATCCTCCCTTGGGGATGATCTCTCTCCTTTCCTCTCACTGTCTCTGTTTGTCTCTCTCTGAGGAGTGCATAGGCCCTACGACAAAAATAAAACAAACTATCAAACAAAAATATTCTAAATTGTAGAGATAAAGGAGAGAGGGCAAGAGAAAGTGTTTTTTTCTTTCCTGGTTTAAGGGTACCTGCACATTTTAGGAGAGAACCATTTTGCTGGATTTAATAAAGTGAGCAGAATTCCCAAATGACACATTGGCAGTCAATTTATACTGTAGAAAACAGACTTATAATAATGAGCCTATCAGCTAATCAGTTGGCATTACTTGTGTGTTTCCCACCCCACCCCCCCGCCCCATCCATTAGTATGATTTACCCCACTGTTTAGCACCTTGGCTATTTCACCTTCCATTGGAGATATAAAACTGTATACAAATGTTAGAATTGAATCATTTAATACTGCTCTTACCAACACATTTTGAGGTATTACCTGAAGTAAGTCTCTGCAAGAACATGGCCAGTACCCCGACTGAATCTAAACCGTATCTACATTAAAACTTCTACTCTATTTCTTATAAATACAAA